TTTGAAAGTTTCCTTTGAGGATTAGAACTGAGAGATTGGAGAGAGAGTGGTTTTCTTGTGAGAAATGTGCCCCCACAGGTAATTGGGTATTCCTGTCTTTGATAGGTTTCCAGTGTGCATTCATTCTGGTGCGCATTTGTTGTTTGGTCTCTCCTACGTATTATCCATCAGGGCATTTGGTGCATTGGATGAGATATATTACTTTTCTGGAGGTGCAGCTCTAAAAGCCGGGAATGCTGGTGGCTGTGTTGTGGGGTGTAGTAATTGTGGGGGTGGTGGAGGTTGGTAGGTTTTGCATTTCTTGTCATGGCATGGTCTGGATCCATTTGGTGTGTTCTGGGCCTGAGGAATTTTGCTTCTGGTGATGAGGTTAGTGAGGTTCCCTGGGGTGCCCTGCCTAAACACACTTCCAGCCCTGGAGCTGGTCCCTCCTGGGTGGCTAGGATGGGTGGTTCTGGGAAGATGTCTTTAAGAATAGGTTCTCTTTCCAGTACGGGTTTCAGTTGTTTGAGGATTTTCCATATGGGTTCGAGGGAGGGGTGATATGTTATAACTAGCGGTGTGCAATTCGTGGGGGGGTTTCCTTTTGTATTGCAGCAATTCTTCCCGTGGTATCTGGGTGGCTCTTTCAAACTTGCGATCTGTCTCTCTGGAGCAGTGTCCTTGTTGGGTGAAAGCCTTTTTAAGATTGGTGAGGTGGCAATCCCAGGTGTTCTCCTCAGTGCAAATTTGGTGGTATCTGAGGGTTTGGCACAGCTTTTTTGGTGTGTTTAGGGTGATTGCTGGTTCTGTGCAGATATGTATGTTGGTCTGTGGGTTTCTTGTATAACATGGTCTGTATTTTACCATTATGGAGACTGATCATTGTGTCTAAAAAGGAGATGTCAGTGTTGGAGTATTCAAGAGATAGTCGGATGGAGGGATGGTGATTGTTGAATTTCTGATGGAACTTAATTGGAGATTGCAGGTTTTCAGTCCAAATGATTAAGATGTCATAGATTCATAGATGCTAGGGTTGGAAGGGACCTCAACAGACTGTGGAGTCTGACCCTCTGCCTGGGCAGGAAAGAGTGCTGGGGACAGATGACCCCAGCCAGATGCCTATCCAGCCTTGTCTTAAAGACCCCCAAGGTAGGGGAGAGCACCACCTCCCTTGGAAGCCCATTCCATTGATATATCTTAATTGAGGAATTCTTCCAGGTGGCTCATAAAAAGGTTGGCATACTGTGGGGCCATTTTGGTGCCCATAGCTATTTTTGACACCCCCCCTCCCCTCAGAGGACTGTGACCCTGCCCAGTGCCAATGAGGGGTTGCAGAGCTCCTCTACTAAGCCCCTGCATGCTTGGGCTGCCAAGGAGGCAGCCCAAGCAAGGCTGAGTACATGATGCCCCAAAGTACATCAGCACTGTGTACTGGTGTAAGAGGCACCATGGGGCCTGAGTTGGAGACCTGCCCCATCTAACCAGCTTCCACTCTGTTTCTTTCCTCTCTAGCAAGCAGAACAGGACATTGAAATGTGGAAGAAACAGGAGGCAGCTGCCAAAGAAGCAGAGTCCAACCCCCCGAGCACTGAGAATCAGTCAGGACAAAAGGTACAACCAGTGCTCCCCTCCCCGTCCCATTCACTAAACTCCTCACCATACTCTTTTCCGTGGTTGTGAAACCAAGCTTCTGTGCCCGTATGGGTCTGAGAGCCCTTTTGGTGCCTTTGCTAGAGCCAGAGCTTCTGCCTCCACCTTCTGACAAAACACCACGTTGCATCTCCCTAAAATTCCTTGGTATTGGCCTCCTCTTCACTCTGTGCCTTAAGCTGTTGTGTAGCATTGCTGCATAGGGAAAAAACTGGCAAGTTCCACCCCAGAGGTAGCTGCAGCTGAATAGTGGGTGAAGCATTTTTTATGCTGGCTTTGTAAAGTATGTGAGGGTCTCTCAAAGGAGGAGGTGCCATCCTTGAGATGCCTGGCTCTATGGGAAATGTCCCACATTCTCTGAGCTGCCACAGGGGACCCACATTTACTTCCTTCTTGTTATTGCTGCTACAGTCTCCTGTCCAGAAAGCCAAGCGGCAGCAGATGGACATGATTGCTGAGCTGAAGAAGAGGCAGATGGTGAAAGAGCCCCTCATTTATGAGGGGAAAGATGGTGCCATTGAGGATATTATTACAGGTGAGGTGGGACAACCCCTGAACTTGAGGGTGGGAGTTGGACCCCACAGGCAGATGCCCAGTGGGTCAGAAACAAAGGGACACTTGTGGGTGGGGTCCTAGGTCAGGGTGAGAGTGGTGTGGGGTACTTGTTGGTGTATTACTGGGTTTTCTTTGGGATGTGCCTGCCATATGGCTGTTTAGTCCCACATGCCCCTTGCTCACAGGACATGCTCCTGCCCCTTTCCAAACCCTTCCCTGCCTTCCTCACTTATTCTTGCAGCCACTGTCCCTGTCTGTCACCGGGCTGCCTGTCCTGTGTATAGCATTTGGGGGCCAAGGGAGGGTAGGCATTCCAGAGATGGCAAGGGGGGTGAATTATTGGCAAGGGCCCAGAATTATTAAGGGGTGTTGTCTGGTAGGTAAAGCCAGGGTCTGGGATCCAGCTGTCTCTGTTCTCAGCCTTGCTGATGTATTTTGGCTTAGTACTTTGTCTCCCTGGGCTTCAGCCTTCTAGGCTCTGCACTGCAGAGCAGAGCCATGAATCTGACTATGTCCTTGTGTCCCAAGCATAGGTGCTGATTTCTATTTTTGTTGGGGGGGGAAGGCCTAAGATGATGGACACGTGGAAAGCTTTACACATTTCAGATGATGGCCCTCTTCCCAAGGGGGGCCAGGGCCCTCAGGCCCCCATGTACTTGACACCTCTGGTCCCAAGGGTTGGAGGGGGCCAGGAGTGCCCCAGTTATCTGGCAGGGGCAATGCAATTAGCTGGATTAATTGCTGGTGCATGCCAAGGCCTTAGGAAGGCTTCCTCTTCCCAGCTCTTGGTTGCTGAAAATCCCCATCGCAGTTGAGCAGACCTCTTAACCCAGGGCTGGATGCCTGGATGGGTGGACCAGCTGGAAAGGGACACTCAGGCCATTTGCCCTCAAACCAAATGACTGTCCCTCCAGGCCAGACCAAACTCCCTGCACACTTTGCTGTCTCTGACCATTCCTCAGTTCACTTCCTGCTGCTGCACTTTCTCTCTTTCTGCTCTCTCCCCTCTACTTCTCCCCATCCTGCCTGTCTGGATCACTACTCAGTTCTGAAGACTGTTCCTTTCACGGCCCGGACGGGCAAGCGCTCGTCCCGGCTCTTCTGCAACGCCAGCTTCAATGAGGAGAGCCCCTTATAGCCTCTGCCATAAGGTAATCTGGGTGTGGAGAACCATAGTAGGGGGGACCAGCTAGGCAAGACAGCTCCCCCACCCCCTCATGCAGCCCTTCTGCTCAAGGGTATGGACAGCTGCCAGGCTGAAGCCTCTTTGCCCACCTCGAGTCTCATGTCCTTATCCTCTGTATGAGGTTAGAGAAAAGAAGGCTCTGAAACTCGCTCTCTGCCTTGCCCCCCAGTTTGCTGGCACATCCACTACCTCCCTGACCCATAGGCTTTGATCTTCTAGGCTGTGAAGCTAAGCAGGACTGGGCCTGTTCTGTCCCAGCATAGGAGGTAGCAAGATTTCCCAGATGTTACATGAGTCAGTGCAGGAGGTGACTTTCCTTCTGTGTCAGCCCACGGGGACATGTTCAGAGGGCTAAGGGGGGTGCTGGACTGGAGCAGGCACCAACCAGGCTCCATGTGTTCTCTGCGCACAGGTCTGCGGAACAACCCGTACCGGCGCGCCGACATCAGCAGGTGCAGTGGCAAGAAACGATCCTCGGGGCAGACCCTCCAGGTGACTTCTGACATCTCGCTGTGACCACTCCTGGCCTCTCCATGGGCAGGCATGGCATGGCATGGGCCCATCATCACTACTGCCTCTGCCCAGGAGATGGCAGGACCCCAGGGACCAGGCTTCTCTGCAGACCTGTCAGACCGAACCAAGGACTCTTGCAGTAGGGGGGAAATCACCACTTGCAGCTTCTTAAGCTACTTAACTGTGCAGAGTGCCAGCTGGGGCTGTCCTGCCCTGCACCCCAACCCACCCCCCCTTCGCAGGTCTGGCCCAGTTGGCTCTCCAGGTATTATACAGCAGCTATGTCCAAGCTGTCTGTTCCACCGTGCTATTGGACTACTCCCCTTCTCCAGGCTTAGGGGACAGGAATAGAGCGCACATGGCAGTTGCTCAGAGGTCCACGGGACAAGCAGAGAGGGCTGAGGCTCCTGAGAGCAATATCTACCCCTTCCATGGTCGCTGTCCCTCTTCCCCTCACCTCACACGTGCTGGACCATGGCCACAGGTAGAGGAGCATTGGCGGGGGGGGGCCTACTCTTCTCTGGTGTGCTCCTGCCTCCCTGTGTGCTGGTGCCTTTGTGCAGTCAGTGTTGGGGCAAAGTCCAGGACCAGCCTGCTGCACTGCTCCTTGAACTGTGATCTCTTCTCCCCCTGGGCTTGCCCTGCCACTTTAGGCTAGACCCTGCACCCTTCCCCCTGCAACCTTATTCCTTCCCCCTGCCATACGGCAAGCAGATAAGCCTGGGCTGCCCTTGCTTAGAAGCCATCTGGGAAGGGGAAGGTGGCAAAAGGGGAGGGACCCACCAGATAATACTAGGCTGAGGTGAAGGGTTGGAGCCTATTGCAAGGCTTTTACCACCAAATGCTGCACCAGCTCCCTTAGCTGGTATATGCAGGCAGCTGGATACGTCTTCCTTTAAATTTTCTTTATGCTGCGATAAGGAGGCAAGCACTGGAGTGACAAGGGAGGCTCCTGCTGTTTGTGCAGCATCTCAGGATGCAGATGCAGCTGCATTCTGCACTTGGGCATTGAGTCCAAGGTGAGCAGCACTTGTCTGATCCCCAACAGGCTCAGATGCTATGACAATCAATGGAGTTAAGGATTTGCAATCCCCTGTGTCCCCACAAGGTGTCACACTTACCTTAAGCCATCTGCATCCCCATGGCTGGGATGGCACCTCAGCTCAAAAGCAGCTCAGTGGCGTGGCCTGTTTACGGGGCATCCAGGGACAGACCAGTACCAAGGAAGCCAGGTGCAGAAGGCTTGCATCAGACTGTGCAGTAAAGCTATAAGCACCCAAGGATGCCTGGGTGGCCTCACTCAGGTAGCTGCGGTAGTACATCTGTGCAGTACTCACTGCAGCTCAGGCATGTGCATATAGACCCTGCAGCACACACAATAGTATCAAAGCCTTAGAAAGGCACATCTGGTGCTGGTGCATACAGCTGGATTATGTCCCCAGCTAGCAGGGCCAATGCACTGCAGCCACCCTGCTACATCTGAATCCTAATCACTTACTATTGCAATTAAACAGCTGATGCTTGCTAGGAGTAGGAGCCATTTCCATGATGCATTTACCACTTCAATACACACACCCCCCGCCCTGCCCAGCCTGATCCAGGGCTTGTGGCTGCCATGTATTCTTGTGCTAGACCAGGCTTTTAGAGTGGAGCAAGCCTTATTTGTAAGCCAGAGCTATGCTTGCTTCCTGCTGTAATTAAGAAGCAAGACTGCCACCTGCTTGGCATCACTCTCACAAGCTCATCACAAAAAGGGGATGGGAGGGTGGGGGGAATGAATGTGTAACTTATAAAGATGCCTTTAAGAAAGTGTTGTAAGAAACATTAACTGCTAATTTGTATACATTATTTTTATATTCTGTCTGTGAGGCTGTTAAATCCAAAGCAGAGCCAGTAATAAACCCACTCAAAGGATATAGCACCTGTCTGGAGAGGGAGGGAATCTTCTACCCATTTACCATAAACCAGGGACACAAGGTGACCAAGTCATAGCTCACTACATGGAAAGACTCAGTCTGAGCATTGCCTGCCGTCCCCCCACCTCTGGACAGAGACCTATCTACTAAACAAAACAGGTGGGAGAAGCTGACCCCTGCAAACATGCACTGCTGTCCCTCAGGGGAAGAGGAGCTGATGGGTGAGGTTGAGCAGGGAGCAAGTTGAAAGCTCTCAACTGTCCTTTCTGGTACTTTGCTGTCAGGCCATGGAGGTTGGGCCCTGTTTTGCTGGACCTGATTGTAGCCAAGTGGAGACTCAAAACAAAAGTAGGGCACTGTGGGGGAGAGTCTGGAGCATTGTTCCAGCTGGCAGACAAGTTGCACCTTGTAGGGTGAACCTGAACAGAAACATGGCTTTCAAAGAGGCCAACATGCATCTGAAGGTCTCCTCTTCCCCCACTCCCCCACCCAGCAGCACATTTTCATTTTTATTTCACATTTGAAAAAAAAAACAACAGAGCATGGTTCCTCCTTTCCTTATTACACAGCTTGTTTGTCACCGTCAGGTTCCCGTTTCTCATGGAGTAGTGGATCCCCCTTGCTGACACCAAAACTGTAACACTGGTTCTCCTGGCATTTAAAAACACAAAAGCAGAACAGATGCACTTACAACTCAGAGCTCTTGTGGTTTTTCAAGCTGTATTTCAGCCAAGAGCCCAGATCAATTAAGGCAATGTAGGAAGTTGCCCTTTGAATGGTGGGCAGCCTCATAGAGACTGTGGTTATTGTAACCCAGTTGCTTTCTTGAACTGAGATGGTTTGAACCTGGGCTTAATTTTATCCAGTATTTCTGAAGAGACCATTCTTCCTTTTTTTTGATCTCACTGACGCATGGAAACTAGTTTTTTTCCTTCTTCCTGGTACTACTCATGGCTATTTTTTACGGGTAAGGCAAATAGACTCAAATTTAAACGATTGGCTCTGTTGTCAGACTTGTCAACTCCAAGACAGCTGCAGATTTGGAGGTGGGGTCAGAAGACCTCCATGGCCTCAGCTTGCTTTTTCCTGCCCCTGTAGAATTGTTCCAAGTGTCCATCTGCCAAGGTGTTGCTGAGTGTTCTTGCATCCACTGTTTGCTAGGGCTGTGCAAAGCTTCGAGTGGTGATTTGATTTGGAGGAGATTCGGCCTGATTCAGTGGCCGAATCTCTAAATTCAAAACCAATCAGGGGACCAATTTAGAGGTCCAAATCGATTCAAAGCTCTCTGAATCTTCAGCAAAGATTCAGAGAGCGTTGACAATTTGGACAGTCCCCAGCGGCTGCAGCAGGGAGCTGCAGCCACTCCGAGCTGGTAAGTACTAGGGGAAGTGGAGGGGACCATGGTGGGGATCCCTGCCAGCCTCCCCCCCGCAAACCCTCCCAACTCCCCAAGCCCCCCATGGCTGCCCCAACCTGCCCCAGCTCCATACTTAAAAAGCAGCCCCAGTGCTCACCAGGTGCTGCCAGGCAGGGCCCCCCACGTGGTGCAGGGATCATCCCCTGCCAGCAGGAGCAGCGAGTCCTGAGGTTTCTTCAGGGTTTTTTTTTCCTTAAAGGGCTGGAGCTGGCGCTTGTGGGGCATCCATGAGGGGGCGGGGCTTGGGGGCTCATGCAGAGCCCCCCATGCAGCATGGGGTAGTGATTTGGCCGAATCAAATCAGGACAGTGATTCAAATCACCAGATCGAATCACTATCCCCCAAATCCAAATCCGAAGCAAATACTAGCCACTTCACACAGGCCTGCTGCCTGCCAGAATAATCTACTGCTAGATTCCACCTTGGTATTAAGACATAGTTCATGATATGTATCTTAAGCTTTATTCTAATTTTCTGTTCAATGCACCTACGGAGATGGAATGAAATGGGGTGAAGTATTAAAAAGACACACACCTCCACCCAAACAGGGTAGCTTCCAGTAGGATCTCAAAGTAGTGAGGGGTTTTTGGAGGTGGCATCTTTTATCAGAGTAACTGTAGAGTTGGAAGAGACATTTGATAAGCTTTTGGACATAGAGGACCAATTACACAGTTGGTCCAATGAAAGACACCAGGCAGAAACCTCTGCTTCTTGCATATTTCATGGACTATCGCAGCAACCATGCTCAACCCCCAGCAGTAGGATCTCAAAGACAGGTACAGCCACAACATTTATTGAGACAGCAGACAACATTAAATTATGAACAACTGCAAAGAGCTGTCTTTCCTCAGCTTGTTTTTTTAATTTACATTCATTTCAAAGCAATTTTTTTAAAAGTCACAGTTTTCTAAAGTGTCAATTCATCATTAAGGCGTCATTTATTTAAGATAATTTGTTCACACTTACAGGAAAGAGACAATCCCACCACTTATACCTGCGCTATCTAGCCCAAAATAATTGAACTGATGCTTCTTTCTTTGCCAGCAGGGCATTGTTTTTCCTCGACTGGTTTAGGGGGAGAAGGAAGGCAGAGATGAGAGAGAGAGAGAGAGAGAGAGAGAGAGAGAGAGAGAGAGAGAGTGTGAGAGTGTGAGTGTGTGTGTGTGTGTGTGTGTGTGTGTGTGTTCGTTCATTCAGGCAAATCTATCAATCCCCATGACAATGCTCTCTCTGCTTTGGATTCTTTCGCACTGCACAGCCAATCCAACCCTGGGACAGGAAGATGGACTTATCTGGCTTGAACAGCAAGAGAGAATGAAACATTGCAACCAATAGTGCTAAACATGGCACCTCAGAGGAGGATCTTATTGCAAGGACAGTGAGAACAGGCCAGTGATTGCAGGTAACAGATGAAGTATTGTCCTAATAAAACAGAAATGTTCAATTCCAAGGCTGTTCAGCTGACAAGTGGCACCAAAACAACAGACCACCATCTGGAAGATGTCAGCCTCTCAAATCGCCATAAGCCATAAAGATCATTTGAAATGACATAAATGGGGTAGAGATATGGGCTAATGCTAGTAGCAGAGTGCATCCTACTACCCAATAATTATGCCCTGGAATCACACAAGGGTTTATTCCTTTTACTCATTCAAATAGCTAGGTGCAGATGCTGGTATTAATGCTATAACTAAAAGTGCAAGCTTTGCAGGTGCTAAGGGATGCTGCATTTGGCTTCACTGATTAGTAGAATTTGATTCTAACATTGACAGGTTAAGAATAAAAAAGCAAAAGTTACTTGGTAATGCTTAAGTACACGTTCTCTCCTCTTAAAAAGCTTCTCAGCCTTTTATCAATGAGCCTTTGGAAGGAGAAGTCAATTGTTCCTTCATACCAGCATACCCCCAACAGCTGTTGATTACTGTGCCAGGTTTTTCATGGTGAATGGCAAGGAGATAAGCCTACCCACTATGGATGTAAATATCATTTTAAAAAACAGCCATTTAAACTCTTCTAATTATATCAGTTAACCATTTAAACAATAACACATACCTACGGGTTGAGTTGAGGGTCAAATTGTACCAGCATAGTATGACTCTCAACTTTACCCTAGCAAACACAAGCTATGCTTAAAAAAAAACGTTAATTGTTAAACGTTGACTATAATGCATTAACAGTATAAAATACAATTATAGCATAACCACTTAACTGTTTAACCTCTTACATCTCTAGTACACATCAGGAAAAGGGTTAGGGAAGATTCCCTATTATGTTTGCTTTGGGAGACACTAGGTTAGACTTGACAAAAAAGTTCCAATCCCAGGAATACCAATTCAGCCTTTTGCTCCCGGAAGGTAGCAGTACAATTCTGTGCCCATTACGATATCTGAGTAAGCTCATGTGACTTTTGTTTTAATAGTATTAAAGGTTTCATTGTCACGACACTTGAAAGCAGGAACTGAAAAACCAAAGTTATCTTAAAATTATCCCCTTTTTTCTGCATACACTAGGTTATGAGTACACCCCAGAAATGCCTTGGCTGCTTTAAGTACATACTTTGGTATGATTTAAGTCTGGCCTGTCTGAGTAACAGAGGTTTTCTCAACTCAGCTATCTGGCTGCATAGTGCAGCAAACACCTGACCATTTTAGGGACTACCAGAGGGGGAAAAAATGCTTAAGGGGGGCAAATCTTCTACCAAAGGCAGACCAAAATTCTCCTTTAGTCCATTTAGGCTTAGAAGTGGTCCCCAGACTGAGTTCACCTGCAGTTTAGTTGCAGGGGCAAGACATTGCCCTGGGAGAAAAAGTGTCCTGTTCCTGGATCTGCCATGGACTCAGTGCAATCTTGGGCAAGTCACATCACTAACCTGTACCTCTGTTCACCTATTGGTAGAAGGGGCTATTGCTAGTCTCCCAAGCCTCCAACTTCAGCCACTAGATCAGTGGCTCTCCAATGCATTAGACTCAAGGCACCCCTTAGAAAATATCATCTCCTAGTCTTCACACACTTTTTGACTACAGAAAAATACAGCAATTCATACATTGCAAAGAACTCAAAAAACCCACAGCAGGGCAGACTGTGAATTCCTATTTGACATTTCTGGGTTTATCTTGTGAATCATGTGTAGGTATCTGCCCGTTCAAGTGTTAATACTGTGCAGCACCCCATGGCAACACTTAAAAGGATCTCAAGACACCCTGGTTTCAACTTAATGTACTAAACTAGAAGTACTCTACCCCCAGCGCCATGCCATCCAGCTCATGGGGCTCCCCCCAAGTCTGAAAATTTGGCAGCATCAGAGCAGTTGGCATTGTTCTCCTGATGCTAAATTTCCAGTCCCATGGAAAGCCCTGGGCCCTGCATGCTAGATTGGGCATCTGATCACAGGACTGTGCAGGGGCAGCACCAGGCCCCAGGGCCTGATTCCCATACATGTGGCTGGGTGGGGGTGGCACAGCCCATAAGATCTTGATCCCAGTGCACAAAGGCCAACCAATGCACGAGGCCTAATCTGGGCACATGGGGACAAGTGGAGACAGCACAAGGCCTAATCCAGCCTTGCACCACTGAGTTGGCCCATGGGGCCAAAAGCTTGAGCACCACTGCTCTAGACCCTTATGCACTGTCCTAACATCTGCTGCTTATAATAATGAAAGGGCAAGATAATGCTAGATGTTACCATGTGAATCAGAGGCAACGAAGCAGAAGTTATTGAGATCAGAAGAGGAAAGCTCTTTTGGGAAGGGACACAAACCATTTTACTCATGTCAAAACAGCCTTGAAAGAATCTGCTGCAAAGGGTTTGACAATTCTACTTTTGCACCAGCCCAGCCAGCTACAGCTTCCAAGATTCCCCCTGCTCTAGGCCTCAGGCAGCAAAGAGGTTATCCATCACTGGATAGCACCTTTAATCACCACATACGTGACCACAGCTTTCTTCCTCTAGGAAGTTCCTGAACCACTGGCGTTTTCCTGGAAAACACAATCCTATTCCTCTGAAAATCACAGTCAGGAACTTCTGTGTTCCCAATCTCAATTATAAACATACTTAAAGAAAAAGTGATTCCCTGGCTCTGGAGATCACACTATAAGTACAGCATGTGCCTAGAGACAGGATGTGGACAGATAGCAAGAAGCCAAGGCACTACAACAACAAGCAACAACACTCCCATCCTATTTCAGTAGAAAACACAAATCTTGACACTTGGTGAATTAACAGAGGCAGTTGTGGGTTTCTGCTGTTCCATACTTTGAGGTAACAAATTCCAAAGCCAGAAGCCTTATGGCCTGTTCTCCAGCTGACCATGCTTGACTCTCCAGGTCCAACTGAAGCTGCAGTCAGGGGCGAGGGTGCATTGTAGCTCAATACCAGAATCTGGGACCTCCATATCATAGTGAACAGGCTGTCCCTCCTTTGTAACAAGGCTGAAAGCAGAGGCTGGGATCTGTGAACCAGAACAAAAAGCTAAGTGGTATCTAGTAGACAAAGTTAAGTCAGTACCTACCCCCACATGGTCTACCTGGAATTAGCACTTACAATCAACAAGGAATGTAAAAGGTGAAAGATTTTATTTACCAGAGATGCTGTTCCAACCTTCCCAGGTAAGGGAATATTTTTAGAAGCCAGGTTAGCTGGTACTTATGCTGCAGCTGGATTTCTTCACCACTTAGCACCCACTGGTAGCTGATCATTAAATGTGGGTGACTGAATGAGACCACTACCATCTCTTCTTTATAACTGGCAATCTTTTGTTTATGACATCCCAGTGAACAGGCCATGCCAGACATGGGAATGGGCAATGTTATAGATGAATATTTCACACTTCCATAGCTCTTTTATTCACAAAAGCTGAAAGCTTTTTATGACCAAAGTAAGCTTTATGACTAAAGTAAGCTTTAGTGTCAGGATGCTGCTAGTTTTTTTGGCCTTCCTCATAGCTTCCATTGACACAACTAGCCTACTGAAGATGGCCAGCATCCCTTCCAAGATAGCTAGGGGCATCACAGTAATGCAAAGCCCATTTTGTTCAGCTGACAACACTACATACCTCTACAGGAGTGGTATTTCTAATCTCCGTAGAAAGCCAAAAGCATCTCCAGTAACAAAAAGAAGTCCCAGGACCTTAACAACTTGACAATCTCATCAGAAGTGGTGACTAAAAAACGCTAGCTATTTACCACACACAAATTTATTAAAGGGATCATACAACCTCATGCTTTTAACTGTAGGACACTGATTTGAAGAGCTTTGTGGTCCTATGTTCTTAGCAGCATTGACTAAGCAATTACCAGGTGAGTTATTATAGTGCTTAAACAGATTAGTTCATTAGCTTCCAAAGCATCAGTAGACTGTCCATGCACGGAGAACCATGCATTCACAGCACTGTGCTGACTCCTCACCTGGCCGCTTATCCCTGTGGCAATGTCTCCAACTTTTGTCCTGTGGAAGTCTCGGATATGTAGGTTTTCTCCACTTAGCAGCTGGATCTGGATTTTCACTCCTGAAACCATCCAAAAGAAGCTGTTCACTCCAGCTGCAAGCTTGGGGTTTTACAGTCCAGTATGCAGCTGCCCACAGAGCACTGACAATGTCTATGCACTGACATGTACCCAAGGTACTAATCTGTGCCACTTAGTGCCATGTGTATCTACATCTTCCCCTGTATAAGTATAGGAGCTTGTCCAGACAAGAATGACCCACATAAAAAGGGCTGGGTTTGGCAGGGAAGTAGTCCAAGGAAAAGGCTGTCCAGCAAGAAGTGGCCTTCCACTTAATTTGCTGTCCTGGGGAAGTCTGACGGTGGTGAAGGATAAGTCCTCCCAAACAGAGTCTGAGTTGTGAGACTCCAGGGGAGCTAGAGACATATGTGGGGAACAGCTGCTCCGTAAGCTCCATGGTTCAGCCATTTTTTTCTGGTTGCCTCATAAAAGTCCCCTGCTCACAACACCCTCCACCCCTCTCAGATCAATAGGAACAGATGGCTGAACCTCTTGGACAGCCCATGTGCTTTTATATGGGATGAGATGCCAAAGGCTCAGGCCCAAGCTTTACAAGATGCCCTCCAAATTCCAAGGGAAGGTTTCTGAGCTGATGGAGCTAGTGAAAGGGAGGAAGCTTAGAAAAATACAACTATTCGAGTGCAAACTAGATGCTGAACTGACATCATCAACCCACAACATCAGAAGAAAGCTGTGCCAACCCATTCATACCAAGTCTGAGACACAAATAGACCAACCATTGAAATAGCTGGGAGTGTCTGTGTGTCGACTGCGATACAGCAGGTTATTCCAACTGAAGCTCTGTCCATCTGACTGGCTATTCCAGGAGTGAATTCCAGAGCTCATGGTGTCCTTCAGGCTCTGAGAGGCCTTCAGGGAGTTCTGTAAAAAAGTAACCACCATTATTACTCAGTTTTCTGCTTCTGCACAAGCAGGGGCCAAGAGCATTAGGATTCAGCAGCCTGTGGTCCTAGGTTATACCACAGGATGCACTACAAGCAAGCTGAGACTGTGGAGGGCAGTATACACACTGTCCTGGCCAGAGAGGGGAAAATCCACTCTGGAACAATGCCCAGAGAAGGACTGTCACATTATCTCCCACTTTCCCATCAAAAGGCAGTTGCTCTCATTTCCCCAACAACACACAAGGCAACCACTGCTGGCATCTGCTTATTTTCACCTTCTCACTGGCATCAGACACAAGGGGACTGTCAATACTGAGACACGAAAGCATTTGCTCCTGCTCCTCCAGAGAGTACGGCTGTGACAGGCTGTTCAAAAATAATTCTACAAGCAAGAGAGAAAGAGAAAGAAACATTTGCAAACATTCTAGTCTCATGCCTTCCCCAGTGCATTCTCTTTTTTCAGTTAATACCTGAAGCTCTCCAACACCCTCTATTCAGTTTTAAACTCTTTACAAACAGTAAAGTGACTCTCAACCATCCTGCTGTCCACCAACAGAGGGGAAACAGCAGTGTGCTTTGAAATGGCAATTCTGGAAACTACTTTGGTTAAACCAACAGCTATCTGTTTAACACAGGGTGCTGCTTTGACAGCCTTGGGGTCCCCTCTCTTTCCATTCCTATACCTTACACAGTGTTACAAGCCAAGTCAAGACCAGAGCCAGGACTAATGTGCATGGTCTCAGCTCTTATTACCCACTGTTTTCAGCCACCTATTTTTTTCCCTAGATGTACCCGGTTAAGGGTTCTTTGGACACAAAGCAAACTGGAGGGTTTTTAAAGCAAATACCTACCTTCATGGGTGCAGACTTAACATCTGAAATATCCCCAAGTGTAGCAGGTTTAGAAACATTAAAAAAAAAATAATGATTCTGAATCCTACAGATGCAGGCTGCTGGAGTGTTCCAGGATGAGGAGCAGCTTGTACCACTGCTGCCTATGCAGCCAGGGGCTGAAGAGAGCACGGGTTAGCATGCTCTGAAGAGGCCCAGTCTTGGAAGGTTTCCAAGGGCTACCTAGCATGGTAAAACCCTGCCAGCATCCAGGAATAGTGCCTTCCAAACTTCCTGAAGCCAATTCAGACTGATCTTAGCTGCACTAGTCCAATTTTGACAGATCCCCATCAAATGCTTTTCCTGTTTTACAGAGACAATCAGATTTTTCTTATGCTTCGATTCAGTAGTGCCCAACTTCTTAGCTCCCATTCAATTACAGAAGTGGCAAGGCTGCAGATCTCTTCAGTGGAGAAGGAAGGAATAACCTACAGCCCATGGCACCAATTTTGTTGCTTATTTGAGTGATCTGAAACACTCAATACATCCGACAAAAGGGAGAAGTGTGTGTAACAAATACATTTCCCCCTTTTTTGGGAAACCAATCAACAACTTCTGGACCCCCAAAAGAACAACCAGGATCAGTCAGAAAAAACCAGATGAACTGCCACACTACTTCGTTCTGCTGATAGATCGAAAAGAGGCATTATCCTGAGCAAATACTGCACAGTGCATGTCTTACCTATTTCTAACTGTTGAAGCTCCTGTTCTGAAACAGTCATTGCTCGTTCTGCATAGCTGCTGCTTTTGGTGAGGACAGGAGTGGGATCACAGACCCCAGGGAACCCCTTACACAGATTCCAAGAGGCTCTCGCAGTCTCTTCTGACAGTTCCAGAGATGGTGGCTGCAGGCTTCGGCTTACACAGGGAGCACTGACTGCCAAGTCTGGGCCAGAAGCAGTCTCAGAAACTGCGTTAATTGTTGGGGACAGGGAAGTTTGTGGATTGTTTTCTTGGTTCAGAGAAAAGCATCTAGGTTCTCTGTACTCCCCCCTCCAGGGACTTGTCACACCTCCCACTACAAAGCAAAGATACATCAGGAGAGTTATACAGAGAGAAGAAATGCAGCAAATTTCTTCCACAACAGAATTCTGAACTACATCTTGCTGTAAAACACCCAGGAGCATCAAAAGATGAAGCCAGGAACTTAGAGGAAAGTTCCAATATATTACAGAGCCTTCCAGTGGGTCTGTGCCATACAAAGTTTTGACTTGTCTCAGGGATAGTGCAGGAGCATATGCATGGGTTTTTAAAGTATGACAAACCCACAATGTTCAGATGTGCTGGATAACAAAGACCACCTGTTTACTCACTGGATGAAGGAGACCTAAAAGTTGCTTATCAGAGTGTTGACTCATACTAGCAACCTTACAAAAAGCACAGCTGCTTCTAAAGACAGACATGGATGCAAAAGCCTGACAATGCTTAAATAAATCACAGTTTTTATAGTCAACTCATGGGACTCCTTCATGACAATTTAATAGGAGAGAAGGCTACAAGCAACCCCAGTCAGACACATTAGTCCTGTTTCAAGTGTAGACAGGGAGCAGCAGGGTGATACATATGCTGCATCCTATATTGTGGCAATTTGTAAATTACTTACAACAGGGATCAGGCACAGTCTGACAAGCAGCAAAATCCAGGTATAACTGATTGCTGACCATTTTAGCCTGGGATGGATAAGCAGAAGCCTGGAAATAAGACTTACACTGCTCAAGTGCAGTATCAGCTTTAGCCTTCAATTCAGCTGCAGAAGCTCTTTTAACTGGTTCCTTCTCCAGCCCCTCTTTAATGACCTCAGCAGTGAGAGGACTACAGGTAGGTGGGATTTCCCTCAGAGGAGGTGGTTCCTTTGCTATCTGTATTACAGGAAAGAAGCAGTGAAAGATTAAGCTGAACCAACATATTTTCCATTGTGCTTCCAGTGGCAGATTTTTCCCTACACTTGCTTAACTGAGCAGATCTGTTTCAATGCCAGGACTTAACTATGTAATCAGGTTGCAAGTAGAATCTTAAAAGTAATTAAGAACATGTGCCCCAATAACTGACAAAGAAGCTAGTTTGTGTGAACCCAGATACTGCAAGTGACTTCCTCCTAAATCAAGATTGGCACTACCAACAAGTTCCTTTTTGCACTTTGGATATCATCGCTGAAGCATACTGTCTCCCTATGTATAGAGAAAGTTTCAGTTTGGGTCTCCTGCTTGTTGCGCTGTTGGGTCTGCTCACCTTCAGGCACAGAGGATGATTATAATACTGGGTCCAAGGATGACAGCCATTGAGCATATGTAGCATCATACAGCAGCTGCTCCAAACATCCACCTTTGAGTCACAGCGCTTGCCCATTACTACTTCTGGAGCCATGTGCGTCTCTGTGCCAGGCACATAGTCCCCTAAAACACAAGATGAAAACTCAGATTACTGTAAAACCCACTGTGTGGAAGCCAAAGAGCAGTCAACATGTGCTCCAGAGGTCAGATGAAGCCGCAGGTGCTCTAGACTTTCATCCGCAATGACAACTTCAAAGGCAACTTGAACTGAAAAGCAGAACTGCATGCTGTTAGCTATCACTCCTGAAGGCCATAAGTTTACTCTCAGTCTTGTCTGTACCTGCCCCTTGATATGCCAGAAAGACACTACACCCCACCTCTAGGCAAAACTAGCTATGCAAAACATAGCCATTAGGCAGGTGAGTTTGGGAACTCATGACATGAACAGCTGGAACAGGCACACATGTTTAAAGGCAGGATGAACTCCTGGCCTTCACTGAAGTTAAAGAAATTATTCATGTCAAGGAGGCCAATGTTTCACCACAGGGGCTCAGGTGCTTGACACAATAAAATAGTATCAGCTGTTTAAAAAAGAAAAAGCTTTTAAAGGTTCTCTTCAAAACACAAAACAGACAACTATTTAGATTAATTGATTTCATTTTACTAGAGAAAGCCACCATCTGGGTTAGGAGCCTGAGATCAAGTTCCAGGCATAAAAGAAACCCATTGCCAGTAAAGTTATCATGAAGACAGCAACACGTTTTAACTGCAGTGATGAAAGTGGCGTCATAGGTGGACTGGTAGGGGGGTGCACGTGGCCCCCCTGATGGGGCTGGTGCCGCTGTCAGCAGCTTCTGCAGGTGCCCCCCCCCAGATTCAGGAGGCACCG